GAAATCTCTTGAAAAACGACAGGATTATAGTATTACAGTAATGGTCATGTCTTCAGAGAATGGGCATAACACAGGATATGTAGATTCACTTAAACATTGTGATATAACCAAGACTTCAGTAGCATGCAAATGTATGGAATACACTGCCGCAGATATTAAAAGTATGAACTAATTATTTAAAAGAATAGAATTAATATACCACTTTTAAAATACCGTTAATTTAACCGGCCTACTTTATATTTTTTTCAATGGTATGACTAAGCTGTTTACATGTCTTAAAACAATTTTACAAACCTTTTTTTCTATTGAGTTTTATTATGTTAGTGTAGTATTTGATGTATTTTAACAAAATTAAACTAATGAAAAACTAATGTTGGTGTTTGAAGATAAACAAAACAGAACCATGTGTAAAACAGATTGTTAAAACCCCTGTACTGTAATAATATGTTCAACTAGAGGGCACTCGGAGAGTGCATACCTCCGCCTACATAATTCTCCTCAGTATAAATTTCCCCTGCAATTGTCCCCATTAAAAAAATAATTAAAAAAAGCTCCTTGGGATTAAACCACTACACCAAACTGTTTTCACATATATCACTTTGAAGTTATTGGTCATAATGTTTGTTTACACTTTATCGGCAAGTCCGTATAAGCACATACACACGTCTATACGGCAAACAGTTATTCAAGTTTTCCTTATTGCGTCCTTGACCTTTGACCCTGACTCTTCGAAGTTTAGTCACTTCCAAATTGGTAAAGGGAATAATGTAACCAGGTTTGACAAATTTCTGATAAAAACTGTTTCAAAGAATGTTTTTTGTTGATTGGGAGCTTAATCTTTTACATTTACCCTTCAACATTAAATACTAAAAGTTGGTCATGGGACATTGTGACTAAGTTTGACAAGTTTGTGATTAAAACCATGGGCTGTAGACAAATAAATGAAAAAAAAAAGTTTTTCGTTGATTGTGACCTTGACCTTTAATCCTGACCCTTCAAAATTTAATCAGCTCTAGATAATAATAATAATAATAATAATGATAAGAATAATAATAATAATAATAATAATAATAATAATAATAATAATAATAATAATAATAATAATAATAATAATAATAATAATAATAATAATAATAATAATAATAATACACATTTTTAAAGCGCCTATTAAAGCAAACAAAACTGGCTTGTCACCGGCGCTGGGAACATTGTAGCGAAGTTTGACGAATTTCTGATAAAAACTATGGGCTGTAGACTGTTCACAACAAATATGCCGACAGACAAATAAATAAATAATCAGGCAAATACTAACCTCCTGCAAACTTCGTTTGCTGAGGTAATAATAAATAGTGGTCCAAAAAAAATAACTGAAAAGCGATAGTCGTGATAACGGTCTTAAAGACTTGCCCTCGTGCTAGGTCCTTATTTCTACTCAGCCAAAAAAATCCAAAAAGTAAGTTGTATGTCTACATAACTGCACGGAAATTCAAGGTAAAACATAATATAATAATAGCTTTACAAAACATACAGTTGAGCGCAGAGACAAGGTCACCTAAACTAACGCAAGACTTCGAAAACTACTCCACTAACGAACTTTCAGTAAAATATGCTTATGCGGACGTACTATGAACGCCAATCTATTCCCGGCTTATTATTGTTCACCCAACTTATTCCCGCCTAATTACTGTCGCTGTAAAGGAAAGTAAGTTTTATCTTACCTTCCCATCATGTTCACCGTTTTTCGCTTTAAAGTAACTTGTGATTTTTGCAACATAAATTAGCTTTTACATATTTTTACTGATTGTTTATGCTAGATAATTAAGCTGTGAAATAAAGTTGAACATAAGGTACATGCTTGACTTAGTTACTTTATTTTTGTAATGAATTCATAGACATAGGTAATGATTGTTTACCCTGGAAGAAAGTGTTGCAAATTTGTGTCCCATAGGCTCTGATCATCCAGACCACGAAATACTCAAATTTGCATGGAACTGAAATTCGTGCTACACCTGCGGATGTAGTTGTAATCAAGTGCAGTGTGTTTGGCTAGCATAACTACCTCCATTAAATTGGGTTGGAAAATTACAGGCCTACGGAAGTCCTGAGCTCTGGAACGTATTATAATAGATCTTGTTCCAATGGCTTTTCATGGTATAATACAACATAACTAAGAAACAAAAACTTATACTATAACATTCTATTGGTTGAATTTACACGATGTGGTTGTACGCTACCTAGACTACCCTATAGTATATACATTGTTACCTCATATGAATTGGTATATGACTTTCGGTGTCGAATATATCCCCACCCTTAAGTAATCCTAGGGTGATGGTGGGCGGGTGAGTGAATATATTACTTTATACTGTACTGTTACAACTAACATAACAAAATGAATGGAGAAGAAACGATAACGTTGGTGACTATTATATCTGAGTAGAGTGTGTATAATCATGTCACTAACTTGTATACCGTACCGACAAACTCGAGATGTTTCGGAGCAGTATCATTGTCTTGGAATATGTAACCCGGCGATTTGATATCATTATTCCTAAACATTAGTTTAAAAGTTTAAGTACTTATTTCCCTTAGTCCGATGATCTGTCATGGGTAGCTCTACCGTTGACAGAATTTTGAATTTATTAGTATGGTTTGCAAAGTTAGAATTTTGGCTCCAGCTAGATTTTTGTGCTGAAATAAATTTTATGTATAAATAAACTTTATAATTTTTGGTGTGCTGAATTCAAAAACATTTGGTTCTACTTGTTTATCCACGTCATCAGCTGCCATTTTGAATTTCATGGTGGTCGACGCACCACATAAAACATGATCAACACTAATCATTTAACCGGAATAAACTATACCTAATAATACATATTTACCTAGATACACTAAGACACAAAAGGTGAAGAATTCAAATTCACCAAAAGTTCATGTTTGGTATCGTTGTTAAGCTCTCCCGATGCTGAATAATCTTTTACAGTACACATATTTTAGAAACGGTGTACCGTAGTAAAATAAACAGGACCCAGTTACGTAACGCTCGTGAGCTTGGGGAAGTGGGAGGGGCTCCTAATACTACCCAGCACTTCACTACCAAGCCTTAACAGTGGCTTAACGCATGTGTTTTCTGGGTAAAGTCCCAGTCCAAATGTGCCCCAGAAAGACCACGCAGGCCCTTCTTACTGCTGTTCTACCCAGCACTATAACGCTTTAACAATTTTTTAAAAATATTTTTTTAAACCCCAAATAAACAGAAATCCTACAAACGCACTCTTTATAGCAGATTTACTTGAAGGGTCCCTCAAACTGTGGAGCTTTGACCAGTTATGTTACGCATGTGTGCTTTTTAGGGAAACGCTTTGTTCCTCCACCAAGTGCATATGATCCCCGGGAGACCAGGGTCCCCTAATACAGTACTACATAAATCAAAATAGCTGTACATCTATTAACAGTCAGTGCTTTTGAAAATAAAAATAAGGAAGAAAAATGTATGCTGCCAAATCAGGATATGTAAAACTTCCAGCTAATCAGAAACTTTCTATCATCACTGCCCTTAGTAATTTATTAACAACAGAAACATGGCCACGTATAGTACATCTAGGTTGTTCTTGAACTTATACAGTAATAAATCTAGAGTGTGTTTTGGGGATTTTGGTGTATTTGATTGTTTGAAAATAATATAAATAGTTACCATATTGCCAAGGCGGTGTAGTAGAGTACTGGGTAGTACAGTAGTAATAAGGGTCTTGGGACTTGGCTTAGAAAACACATGCGTTACGCCACTCTTAAGGCATGGTAGTAAAATGCTATGTAGTAGTAGGATCCTCTCCCCCCCCCCAACTTCACGATCGTTACGCAACTGGGTCCTGTTTTTGTTAATACGATATGCCATAATTGGAAATTATACGGGACAGTGATATATAGAAAACTACACCGTTTCTGATATATGTACTGTAAAGCATCATTTAGCATCGAGAGAACTTTTCAGCGATACTAAACACGACAACTTTTGGTGAGTTTGATTTTTTGACCTTTTAACCTTTTGTGTCACGTTACTTTATATTTATTGGTCTATATCTCCAATATGTATTATTAGGTATAGGTGTAATATAATTAAATTATTAGTGTATTCCTTTTCCACTGACAGCAAACACGACCATGTTTTATGTGGTGCGTTGGCCATCAACAAATGGTACCAAACGTTTTTGTTTAGCACACCAGAACTAATAGTTTGCCAATAAAATCCATTCTGGCACAACAATCTAGCTGGATTACATAGCAAACTGTACTATATCGCTTTGTGTGTAAACTTAAATTTATATAGAATAACCATTATTATTGTTCTATTATTTCAAATGATATAATGTTGTACTTTTGATTGTTTCTTCAACAAGGGCAATCATCGTCGGGAGATTCCAAAAGCCCAGAAATAGAGCCAGATATTAAAAAGAGACGAATGAACCCATCCACACAGTTATCTTTCGATGAGGTTCCTGAAAACATCGCCACTAAAGTTGAGGAGAGAATTAATGTAATCAAGTTCAAACAAAATCAAACAAAAAGTGAATCTAGCAACAGTTTCGTCATGAACATCTGGGACTTTGGAGGCCAGCCGGTATACCACGTTATACAACGGGTATATTTATTTATATCGATATTTATATAAATAAATAAAACTGTTCAAGTTCTTAAAATTTACAATTTGAATATTTAATAATTTGCATTTAAACATATAATGTCTCGTAACAAAAAGCTGCGAAAAACAATTCATTTAAAGTTTTGAATAGCTCATTTAAATTGGGTTATTGTTTTCATTTCATTATTACATAAATGTGATGTTGTATTACACAATATTCAATATGAGTATATACACACAAAAAAATCCTATGTTCATGTGCCTTACATGTTTTTTTTTTTTTTTTAAGGATTATACCATTATAATGGCTAACAAATATCTAGCTTTCAATTGGACTGCTTATCATTCAGGGCTGATGGCAGTCTAGATCCTATCTTTTATTAGAGTTTAAAGAAGGGGAATGCCAATGTCTCTTTTTTTTTGCCAAAAACAACAATGAAAGGCACAACAAAACCTCACTTTCAATGAACATAAGAAACGCGATATTTGCACACACATTCAAAATAAAACTAACCTGAACCCTATTTCATAAATTATTAGCCTATTTAAGTTTTTCTTTTGGTGATGTTTCCATTTAGACACCTTCGCCACTTTTAACCTTTATTCATTTTAATATTTGGTTAATTTTTGTACCATTTATACCTCAAACTTGCAATGACCTTTGTTTTGAAATTTACATAATTTTACACCGTTTAATTATAATGCACTTTTGTACTTTTCTAATTGATACTGGTTTTTTTTGTGAAAGGCCCCTTTAGGTCGAGTATTGTTAGAGTCATCCTCGTTAAAAAAAGTTCAATAAAAGTAGAATAAAAATAGTATAAGCAAAAGATTACATGTTACATTTTTGTTAATTCACCATGATTTTTTTTCTCATTAAGATTTTTAATTGTAACAATTAGGCAATTAAATTACGAAATTATATTTTTCTCATATTTTAGCTCTTGGCATTTAGCATATATAATGTTATTTAAATTTTGTAAATGAGCGCATTGTAGGGATTTTTTTCTTGATGCCATCCCAGCTTTATATATCGCAATATTTTTTTTTTTTTTTTGTAGATTTTTTTAGTATCCTTTGCAGTTATTTGTGTGGTGTTCAATTTAAAAGACGACCTCGACGAGCCTGCTGAAGTTAGAGATCCAACAACTGTGAGTTGAACATTGATTCTATTAATTATTTTAGGTCAGGCTTTGTGTGAAATTCCAACTATTTTTAGATTGGAATTTATTTGTCTTATGCACATATAATGAGTTTGCATGTTATCTGATCCTCTTGCCATATTAATTTTGTATTTATATCAATATTCTTTTCAGGGTGAAATATACCAACATCGAATGACTAACCTTCAGTTTATTCTTTACTGGATTCGATCAGTATATACGAATACAAAAGGTTTCAATTTCGATAACGGACAACTTTCACCGCCCATACTAGTGATTGGTACGCATCTAGGCAGCCTCGAGGGGAATGAAGTACAAAAGAGAAATAAGGTAAACAACTAAGTAACACATTTTAATAAACGGGTAGACAGTTTCAGAAATATTTACCATAACTATACCAAACAAACAAATATAAATGTCATCTGTTAGGGTATAACAACTCCCTGGTTAGGACACAATATCTTATGTATATTATTTGGGACGCCGGCGACCATGACAGGCGACCAACAGTAATCTATGGCGAGCCAAATTGTCATTTAATTGTAAATAGAGGTGTCGTTGTTTTAAATTGAGTTATCTCTATTTTAAATAGAGATATTTCTATTAAAAAAAATCTTAATTTTTAATAGAGAAATCTTAGTTTTAAATAGAGATATCTCTATTAACGAAGCTATCTCTATTTCATTAAAACTAGGATTTCTCTATTTAAAATAGAGATATCTGTATTTGAAATAGAGATATCTTAGTTTTAAATAGAGATATCTTAGATTTAAATAGAGACATCTCTAATTAAATAGAAATATCTCTATTTACTATTTAAAACTACGATATCTCTATTATTAGAGATATCACTATTAATATTGATATCTTAGTTTAAAATAGAGATATTTTAGTTTTAAAAAGAGATATTTTAGTTTTAAAGAAAGTTAACTCTAGTTAAATCGAGATATCTTAGTTGTAAATAGAGATGTCTTCGGTTTGATATTAAGATATCACTAGTCACATTTAAATGACAATTTGGCTCACCATAGTATGAAAAGGTATCCCTTTATTCTAGTTTTTGCTTCTTCTTCTATTCTGGTTTCCTGTGTGTTTTATTTTTTCACAAAATTTTTCCATCCACTACTTTGCTGACTTTTCGTTCTTAAAACTTCTTCAAAATGTTTAAATTATTATTTTTATTATTATTATTATTATTATTATTATTATTATTATTATTATTTTGTTATTATTATTATTTATATTATTATTATTGTTGTTTTTCAGAATTTCCTTTTCTACTTGTTTTCTATGTTTGTGCACAGGGAGTTTTTAAATAATCTAAGCCAAGACCATATATCAAAGATGACCCTAGTGAAAACAACAATTTTACAAATTTGTTGTCAATTACCCTTCCAATTTTAGGCCGAAGGAATATTCTGTAGAATTCGGAAAGCAATGGAGGGCAAACCTTATGAAGCAATGGTGTTTCCTAAGTTTTTTGCTATTGAAAACAGCTTACCATTTTCCATGAGCAACGCTTCTAACATCATGAAACAAATTCTGAAATTTGCAAAAAAGATGGTCAGAAAACTGCCTTTAAAATGGTTGCTTTTTCAACAAAAAATACAAACGTTGAGAAAGGAGCATATCTATTTACCAACGAACAAGGTAAGACATTTAATCATTTTTAAAATATATATTTTAGTCAACTGATCAAGGCACTATGCCGCCAAAAATTATTTTTGATGTCTGATGTAAAATTTGTTTATAATGTTCTAATAATTGCCTTTCAAAATGTAAGTCGGAAGGGACTCCGAAATGTTTCGTGTCATCTCTTGATTTGATTTATTCGATATCAACAGAACAACATCACAAAATCGGAACAACAATAAACAGAGAAACAAAAAAGAGAAAACAAGCAAGCCATCATTGTTGATATCTGGGATAACCCTCTAAACCCCAAAACAGGATTTATTTCCATAGGGGTCAAGGAGAGATCATGAATAATTTGTCGGATGGATTTATATAGTGTAAACACCAAGGATAACCAACGAAAGTCTAAAGAATACTTATTTCCAGTGGGGTCCTTCTGGTAGTGATTGGGCAGTACTGGGAGACAATCCCCATCTATTTTTCGAATAGTGTACAGTACTGCGTTCTTTATCTTGCACACGGGCCATAATGCATACATCATTTTTATTATTGGTGTGCCACATAGGATTCTGCACTCATTTTGTTTGATCCACAAAGGATACTGCATTTATTTCGGATCCACACAGGGTAGTGTAATAAATTACCATTCCTTGCCTTACTTTAACATATTTAATACTGTACATAGAACATTTTAGAATAACATTTAATTGATCAAAGAAACAGTGTAAACCACATTGTTAATTATAGGAACACATGACACCATGTAGAATCCAAGAGTAATATGTGGAAGCTTCTGGAATCTTAGGTACTTTAGAGGCAAATAAGCCTATTGGTTAATTATGATGTAAGGTAGCCAATGGGGAACTTCGGCAATATGGAATGTTCTACAATTGCAGTAAGTAGTCTGTAATTTTTTTTGACAGTGGACATTGACTAATCTTTATATTTGGAGCAGTAGACTTGTGAACGTATCGGTAACCACGATTTACTAGTAATAAGACCCTCGTCCAAATTTAATTATGGCTAATGGACAATCAACAACAAGATCCGGTAAGGAGTATCAAGGCGACGACAATCATGACACAGATGAGGAATCTGTTCAGTCGCAACATTCAGAACATGATACAGACAACGTTGTAGCACCTGGTGGACTCAACCCAGGCAGTGACTTGTCTACTAATGACGTGCTGTTCATTATGCAACAGCGAATTCAACAACAGCAAGAGCAGCCGATAAGGCAGCTGATAGATAGACAGGAGCAACAAATGGAAAGACAAGAACGATTACGCAAGGAACAAATGGAGAGACAAGAACGATTACACGAGGAAGAAATGGAAAGACATGAGCAATTACGCCAGGAAGAAATGGAAAACCAAGCCAGAAATGGACAAGCAAATGGCTTTAGTAAACACGCTGATTGATAAACAAAAGGAAAGTGATGACAAACGTCTTAAAGACATTATGAAACTGAAGGAAATTCAAATTGCAAAGTTGGCTGAGGGTGATGATATCGAGAATTACCTAACCACATTTGAACGAATTGCTAACACCTACGAGTGGCTCAAGGAGCACTGGGTGGTGAAATTAATCCCTCTCTTGACGGGCAAGGCACGAGCAGCTTATGCAGCACTACCAGTGACGGATAGCAATGACTATGACAAGGTAAAAGAAGACACATTAAGAAGGTATGATATTACTGAAGAGAGAAAGTAGGTCATATAGAAAGGTTCTGTCGTAGTAAAAGAAGCCTACGTGTCCCGATTTTGAACTCTTGTTACAGAACGGTAATAAGGACATTCATAGCTTAGTTGTAACTAGGACTCACGCTAGGAATGATAGGCATAGAGAAGAGAAAGAGTTGAAGGAAGAAAAGGCTTGTGGCGTAGTTTCTAGGAAGTTAGAGTTTGAACATTTGGATGGTCAAATGTTTATGGACAGTTCTCCTAAGGATAAGGTTTCCAAGACTAGGAGTGAAAAAAGAAAGGCCAGGAAAGAGTTAGGGATGTTGCTTGGTCAAAGGGTCCTAGTTCTAATTTGGATTTAGTTTATGGTGAAAGGTTGGAGGAAGCACAGCTTCAAGATTTGGCTGAAGTGTTTTCGGAGTATGAGTCAGTGTTGAAAGATCGACCTGGGAAAACTACTGTGATAGAACACGATATTGAAATGGAACAAGGAGTGCATCCAGTTAGACAAAAGTCTTATCCAATTCCACAGGCTAAGATAGATAGGGTAAGGGAAGAGGTAGAATCTATGTTAGAACTGGGAGTAATAGAATAATCTGACAGCCCTTTGTCTTCACCTTACCTCATGGTACCAAAGCCTGATGGTAAAGCTTGCTTTTGCGTAATTTCCAAGAAAGTGAATAGTTTGAGCAAGTTTGATGCATATCCTATGCCAAGAGTAGAAGAGATAATAGGTAGAGTTTGTCCAGCTAAGTTCATAACTAAATTAGATTTGTGCAAGGGTTACTGGCAAGTTCCCTTAACAAAAAGGTCAAAGCAATATACAGCTTTCTCTACACCTATGGGTTTGTACCAGTTTAAGTACTTACCATTTGGCTTGCATGGGGCTCCTGCAACATTTCAAAGAATGATGGATCGTCTGTTGCGTGGGAAAGAAGGCTATGCAGCAGCATATATGGAGGACCTTGTGATATTTAGCCCAGATTGGGAAAGTCATGTCCATCATGTCCGAGAAATATTTCAGATCCTCAGGCATGCCAACTTAACAGTTAAATCAAGCAAGTGTAGTTTTGCACATAGCAAAGTGCATTACTTGGGGTACGTAGTAGGAGAAGGGATGGTGCGACCTCAAAAGACTAAGGTAGAAGCGGTAGTACATTGAGAGCAACCAAAAACTAAGAAAGATGTCAAATTTTTTCTTGGGTTGACAGGGTACTACCGTAAGTTTATCCCTAACTATGCTGACGTTGCAGCTCCTCTGACTGATCTGACGAAAAAGAAATTGCAAGAAAGGATTAAGTTGATGCCTGATTGCGAGGAGGCCTTTGTAAAGCTGAAAGACGCACTATGTTCTGGTCCTGTTTTAAGGAACCCAGACTTTAATGCAGAGTTTATCTTGCAAACTGACGCATCAGATCGGGTGTTAGGTGCAGTGCTCAGTCAATTAGGTCCTGATGGTACTGACCATCCTGTGTTGTATCTTAGTCGTAAGATGCTACCAAGGGAGCAAAATTATGCAACTATAGAGAAGGAGTGTTTAGCCATAAAATGGGCTGTAGACAGCCTACATTACTATCTGTTGGGTAGGAAGTTTAAGATAGTGACTGATCATTAGCCACTAAAATGGCTAAATGAAATGAGGGATACTAACAAAAGACTCATTCGATGGAGTCTCGATTTGCAACCTTATTGTATTACAGTAGTGCATAGAAGAGGTATTTCCAACAGTAATGCTGATGGGCTCTCCCGGAAAAATTAATGGTACTGCACAGTTTATAAAATGTGTTTTAAAAAAATAGTTGTTTGAAGTTTTCCTCTTACAATTGTAAGGAAACTATATTCATATGATGTTGTTATCATTTCATTTATGCGATTGTGTATTTTTACAATGTATGTTACAAGTTAAAGATATTGTATATTTTAATTCATAAGAGAGTATTTTGTTGTGAAAAAGGTTACTTTTATACACCCACATAAACCAGGCCCTCAAAACTCTTTGGACGAGTTTTGAGCTCAGAAAGAGGGGGAAGTGTAATAAATTACCATTCCTTGCCTTACTTTGACATATTTAATACATAGAACATTCTGGAATAACATTTAATTGATCAAAGAAACAGTATAAACCACATTGTTAATTATAGGAACACATGACACCATGTGGGATCCAAGAGTAAAATATGGAAGCCTCTGGAATCTTGGGTACTTTAGAGGCAAATAAGCCTAATTGGTTAATTATGATGCAAGGTAACCAATGGGGAACTTAGACAATATGGAATGCTCTGGAATGCTCTGGAGTTGTACAGCTAGGATATATAAGCTGATAGTTTTATCTTTCGGGAGCTTTTTTTGAAACACATGTTTATGTGAATGTTATTGTATTGTTTTGAGACCGGATTCTTGTTGGAGTTTATACAGAATAAAAGTTTATTTGAGAGTTGTTTTACAACATTGTGAGCTGTGTTTTTATATTTTATATGTCAAAGAGGGATTGCTAGTCATTTCTATACCGCTCGGAAATACGTCAAGTAGGAATTCATGACAGTAGACATAAATTTAATCCACACAGGATAACGTTAGTAGCTGGACACGCACATTGGTAGCATGAACAATATAATACTCACTGTAGAATAATGTATAATACATACAAACTCTGATTCACACAGCATGCTTTACTCTACCAGGCCCACACTTTATTAGTGCTGCTACAATCTCCATTTAGTCCACACAGGACATACAAACAGTCAGCTAACATTTCTGACCTTCTCTCAGTGCAGTTCCACCAACACTAACCCCTTTTTTCTATCCCATCCTCCTACTACATCACATTTCATAATCTATCTACCAGCTTCTCACTTCATAACATTGCATAACCCTATTCTTCACCCCATACCACACCACTTTCAGTCTCCACACAATCAATACAATAACTTAACAAACTTCATAACGTTACATAACCGCCTACTGTACTGTTCACGTCATACCACAACCACTTTCAGCATAAAAAAAGATATAAAAAGCACGTGTGAACAAAATTAACTGTCAATACTCTATTTTGACTATAAAAGTATATATAAAAAGTATGTATGAACAAAAATAACCCTCGTCCACAATCCCATTGTGACATAAAAACAAAAACTGACATTTGTATGTAATTAGATTCGTCGAAAAATGGATTCATGTGTTTGTTTTTAATAGGTGATTGAATTAGTTGATCTCTGCAGGATCAAACATGACGCTCAGAGGGTGCTGCTTGAATATTTACACGACATTGGTGAGATCCTCTACTTTCCTGATGACCAAAATTTAAAGGAAATTGTTGTTTTAGATCTGATGGGAATAGTGGACATGTTTAAAACAATAATCACTGTTGTAGAGCCTCAGCTTATGGTGAGCTTAACAATTACTGTACTCATGTTTTATCGTCATGTAAATATTCTATTTATTGAATTAGTTTTACAGCAGATACAATTTCACCAGTTTAGAAGTGTATCATAAAACTAGCAAAACTGTTAAAACTACACAAATCACAATGTATTATATTGAAAGAAGAATGACAACAGTAAAACCAAAACGTTACAGTTTGGTGTTGAAAACATTATTTTGTAGAGACATAAATACGTACTGGGAACCTAAATTCACAACCTGATAACATTTGAACGGTCCTGCAACGCGGTGTGACGTTATTTTGTGGCATACCTTACCACAACCTTCGTAAACGTTATAAGAACATTTTGTGTGTAATGGGAATGTCGAGTATTATTTTTGAAAACATAGACCATAAAAATACTGTAAAAAGTCGATGTGCAAACTATTATAAAATATTACTATATGTAACGGCTAGTGTGGGAAATTACATTTGGTCCCCCATGCAGAAAGTATTTTTATAAGGTAAGAAAAGTCTAATTAACTTAAAAAATATATACCGCATTATTCATAAAACACCTGTATGCACATGGTAAGTTAGGTTTATCGCTCATGATATATAGTGATGTTTGGAGACTTGTGTTGTGAAAAATACATAGTCTCAATGTGCTGTGGTATGATAAAATCTCAGTAAAAATGCTTAAATTAGTCTCCTCCATTTGCAAACATCTTGCTGATTTGTTTAATATTTCCTTGCAGCATGAAAGAGTACTTGGTACTTTCTTCTTTTTTCCACCCTAAACGGGCACTTGCAAAAGCTACAAAATATGGTTCACCTTACTCTGGAAAAATGAGTTACACAAGTGTGGATGGTTAGGCAAAGGTGCAAAACAGACTACAGGACTAAAAAAGGGATTCAAAACATTTCATAATTTTTAAAAAATACTGACAACTGAAATAAAATTATTAAAACGCACTCACGCTCTTAGTGATGCAAGCTCCTCGGATTTGTAGGCAGAAAGCAACTTTCGGAACCTGTCTTTGCATCCTCTAAATCCAACAACCCCGTCTGGCCTAATAAGACCCAGTGCCTCATTCAAGTGTTTATCCACAGACTCCAACTTTTTGGTGTCTCCCATTGGCCATTCGGCGTAAATCTGCTTTAGCAAGAGTATGCCTAATGCTTGATAGAACCTGGTAGATATCTTCTTGTCATTAAATAATGCCATCCTGACCTGAAACATAACATAATATTTTACAATGGCGGAAGATATCTAAACGTTTGAGCACAATTTAAATTTAAATGATTTTGCATAGGCCTTCATATAACACAAGTAAATAATTTCTACATAGACATCACATTGCCTATTCCCGTACAATATTGTAATCATATTAAGATCATAACATTTGACAATATACATAAAATGATAATGTGACTAACAAAGCTGATAGGCAGGGAAAACACTAACAGCAAAAAGTCTGTCATCAATACAGTTTTATAACCCCTTCACACTAAACTAGTTCGAAGAACGTTCCTGCCCGTTCTGAATATTTCATGAAATGGGATGAGGACGGGTTCAAACGTGCAATTTTGGCTTTTACTACGACACAACACAGTTTGAAGTAAGTCCATTACGATTGCAGACGGTTTGTACAAGGTTCGCACAACGTTTAAAACGGGAAGACATTACGCTCAATGTCGTTTGTAGCCCTTTCTTAACAAGTTCCAATTCGTTTAACCCCGTTCACAGTAAGTTTCAATCAGTTCTAGGACGTTTCTACACGGTTCGCACTACGACATGTCTGTTCAAACCAGTTCATGCTCAGTCTTGCCCGTTTGCTTTATCACGTTCAAAACGGGGATCTGGGTCATGTTCCAGTCCGATCTGCTGTAATACGACCCATATCTAGCCCGTTCTCCTCATTTCGTTCAGTACTTGCTATAGTTAACATGCTAAGGAAACAGAAAGAGGCAAGGGAGAGGAACCTCAAAGAAATAGAGGGTTGCTAAAGTGCGAGCCATCGAGTCATGCAGGGATGCATGCAATTCGTGCGAGCCATGACGGTAGTTCGTGCGGGACGTGTACCAACAGAACGAGTCATGCGAGGCACACAAAAACCCACGCTTCTTCCTAACACTTGTACCATTTATAAAACAATTATAATAATGAATGAATTAACTAATTTTAGCATAATTATTTTGAAGTTAAAAAGACAATTTTAAGCTGTCGTTGTTTTCATATGGGACCGTTCTTCTTTCAACTCGGCTAGGCCTAGGCTAGGCATTGTAGTAGTAGGCCTAAAGTAAGGCAAATAAGCCTAGGCCTAGTATAGTTTTTAGAGACGAGGTTACCTGCTTCCACTCACAATAGCCTTAGCAATCAAACGGCGTTCTGAGTGCCAGGTGACAGATTGTCCCATTTTTAAAATTTACCGTAATTGTTCTGTAAGTATCGTGAAATGTCTCTTTTAGTTTATATAAAATAGCATCTATCTAGACATGTGCCTGCTGAAGGACAAAAGCCAAATAGGCCTATCATAAATGAATATCATTATTACATATAGGCCTAATTTATGTTTTACTCACACTGCCTATAATTCGCAGCATGCATAGAAGGAAAGAGGACCTTATTTTATTTTTCAGAAAATAAACATGATTAGCGAAGAAAATTTTAAAAACATGAAACCAAACAGAGTAGAAAAAGAAAGCGTCTTGAATTTATAATGCAAACACGATCATAATAGGCCTAATAATAATTTATGGGCTAATCTTGTGATCCATCATGTTTTAAAAAGACAATTACATGCCCATGATTTGAACAAACGCACCTCGAATAAACGACCCCTCGAAAATGCCATTTGGAATAAACGCCCCTGCGCGTTTAATTTCTCTTCAAATAAACGCGTCCCCACCCACATAAGTAACTATGGACGGATGAAATGTAAGCATGAAATTATAAGCCATATAAAAACACTTTTAAACATATTATGCACTGTAGACTGTAGACAAAATTTTATGTCTTTGTATGCTGTATTTTAGTTATTATCTGTCTGTAATGCCAGATAATATAAAAACAAATGTATGCTTGACAATAACAAAGTATTATATTATACTATTATATGTACAGTATGCATAGGCCTAGTCATACAAATATACAATAACATTTGGTACTTATATTAAAAAAGACAAAATATTGATAGTTATTATAATTATAAATTTATATTTTTATTTCATAAATTACAGTGGACCTTTATCGGCTCTTTTCGTACATTGAGCCAATCAAATGAATGCATTTGGGGTGTAGTGAAATGATGGGAGAGTAATATGATGGAGCTATGTGGCACTTTTCTTGGAGTTTAATTTATCTATATCATATATATCTGGATGGTTGAATCGGTTTCAAGGTTGGCGAGTGTTGCATGCATGATTAATGATCGCACGCCCTCTGGTAGCTCGATAACGCATTGTATGCTAGGGACGACAAGATGGCGATATGCTTCGTGTAACACGAGTTAATAGAGTGTGTTAATGAAAACTCTAATACTGAAGGCTATCCTGAGTATTGTATTACGTCTTTAACCCTAGAAGTTACAACATAAAACATGGTATCCAGAAATGCCGGATTTGGATTTCGTAGTGCTCCATTTCAGTGATAAACTCGGACTTTTGTGTATGCCTAGCGTTCGGAAACTTGTGACTGTACGTATAGCGTTGATCGTCAAGCGTCCCCGCGATCGAGTCATTGATGTGCTGTGGATCGCGGTAAAGTCATATTACACAGTGAGTGGGAATCTTAGCTCTTTTAGTGAGTGTAATATAGTATAAGCTTGGAGTATACTTGTAAAATAGTTGATAAGCCTAAAGTCAAGTCTAAATCTAGTATCCTTTCTTTGAAGGTCATTATTAGTAATATAACTAGTTTAGATAAATAATAGAGAAATAAACATGCTTGTTGGTGATGGAAATAAGCAACCTCCACCAGATGCAGATGGTAATGTACCTCCCATGGTATCAAGAATATTAGGGTTCCTCTCCCTCCCAATATCACTTTAAAGGGAATATGAAAACCAATTGGCAAATTGTTAAACAGCTCTGGACATCGTACGAACTACTGACTGGTCTACAAAATCAGGCGATGGAATATCGCTGCATTTGTCACATGCATCAGTCAGAGAGCTCTGGAAATCCACACTGGCCTACCTTTTAAAACTGAGGAAGATAAAGGAAATCTAGATACCATATTAATATTATGGGAAGAGTACTGCTGTGGGCAAACTAATGTCATATATGAGAGGTTTTGCTTTAACAAGTGTGATCAAAATACATCTGAAACTTTTGATCAATATTTGGTTAAGTTGCGTAAATTAGCTTCGTCATGTGAATACGGCAACATGGCCAGCGACATGATTAGAGACAGAACCGTTTGTGGGATGCGGGATGACATAAGAAAAGAATTGTTAAATGAGAGCACGCTTACGCCCGAAAGTTTTATCACAATGGAAAAGAGCTTTGAGGCTACGGCCAAACAGTCAAAAACTGTGTCACACTCAGGTTCCAAAAATTCTGTCAATCATGACGTCAATTATATAAGTGAGCATAAACAGGGTACTACTAAAAAGTTTCAAGGGAATAGAAAACCTTGTTTTTTGGACAAACTCATGTTTGGGGTAGAGATAATTGCTCAGCATATGATAAAAGATGTTCATCATGTGGAAACAGAGGTCACTTTGAAAGCAAATGTGGTGATTTTCAAAGTAAAAAAAAGTCAATCCTCATACAGGAAGTCCAAGAAACCTAGAAAATCTAGTGCCAAAAACATAAGAGCATTCGGATCTGATACGCCTGATTCACAGTCAGACACAAGTGAGTTTTCTGAATATGAGGAACAATGTTCATTAATGGATGTATATGAACCAGGTAATGAAAATGTACATAATGTCCAACCTAAAGGTACAAAGTCAGGTACTATTATAGTAGCCAAGATGTATGTGCACAAGACAAGAGAGCCAGTGATCATACAAGTGGATTCTGGTGCATCTTGCAATGTGTTGCCAGCACAATACTTACCTGCAAATGTGGTGCTGACAAAAACCAGTAAGAAGTTACGTATGTACAGCAATGATATGCTCCCTGTCTTGGGTACATGTAACTTAAGATTAAAAAATCCACGAAATGGTAAAAGGTACTTAGTTTTTTTTATGTCATAAGTAATCATTAGGGCTCACTACATAAACTCACCTCCTTGGTTCAACTACAGCACAACAAATGCAACTCATCTCAGTCAACCATGAGCATTGCAAGATAAGGTCAAATGTCAAAGCTAAAGAAAATTTATGTCAGGAATATCGGGACGTCTTCGGTGGTCGCGGTTGTATGCCCGGTAATGTCACCCTCTATGTGGATGAGACTGTAAGACCGCACGTAGCGCCCCCACGTCGTGTACCTTTGTCGGTGCAATTACGGTTGAAAGCAGAATTGGAGAGACTTCAAAATGAAGAGGTAATTGAAAAGGTAGAAGAGCCAACATATTGGTGCTCCAGCCTTTGTTGTGTAGAAAAGAGCAACGGTAAATTGCGCTTATGTATTGACCCCAAGCCTCTCAGATGCGCACTTTTTAAACGTAGCTACTAATCTGCCGCTGTCACGGAGGATATACTTTCTGAATTGGATGGAGTGTAAGTGTTTTATAAAGCCGATTTGAATTAAGGCTTTCTCCAGTGTAAGCTAGATAACGAGTCTACGAAACTGACTGCATTCCAGTCTCTGTGGGGCCGTTGGAAATTAATTGCGAATGCCTCAA